CACCTGGGATACACCTGGATACACCCTGAACACCTGGGATACACCTGAGATCATCTGAGAACACCTGGGATACACCCTGAACACCTGGGATACACCCAGGATACACCCTGAACACCTGGGATATACCTGGGATCACCTGGGATCACCTGGGATACACCTGGGATACACCTGAGATACACCCTAAACACCTGGGAACACCTGGGATCACCTGGGACCACCAGGGAACACCCCGACCACATCCCGGACACCCTGTGGTGCCCTCCCTCCCCCTCACCCCACGGAGAGGAGGACGGCCCCCCTCCCCCCCCCCCCCCCCCCCCCCCTCGCGCCCCCCGTGACCCGACCCCCCTGACCCCTGACCCCCCTGACCCCCCTGACCCTTGACCCCGCTGACCATGAGTCGCCGCATTCTCTCCTTCTCGATGCGCTCGTTCTCCTTCTTCTGCTCTCGCTCGGTGTTGGCGTGGTACGTGGCCACCGCCTTGGTCAGCTTCTGGATCTTCCCGCTCACGCTGCGGTGGTACTCCTTGAAGTCCTTGGCGTGCTGCAGGATGCTGTTGAGGTATTCCTGAGGGAACCAGGAATGACTGTTGGTCTTGACCTCTGAACGCCGCGGTCGGGAGGGACCGGCGGCCGGCAGCCGAGACCGACGGTCGCTGGAGGGTCCCAACGGTCATTGGGTGGTGCCAAGGTCATTGGAGGGTCTCAATGGTTATTGGGTGGTGCCAAGGTCATTGGGTGGTCCCAAGGTCAATGGAGGGTCTCAAAAGTCATTGGGTGGTTCCAAGGTCAATGGAGGGTCCCAACGGTCATTGGGTGGCCCCAACGGTCACTCGAGGGTCCAAAGGGCCATTGGAGGGTCCCAACGGGCATTGGGTGGTGCCAAGGTCATTGGAGACTCCTAATGGTCACCAGGTGGTGCCAAGGTCATTGCAGGGTCCAAATGGTCATTGGAGGGTCCCAACAGTCACTGGAGGTTCTCAATAGTCATTGGGTGGTGTCAAGGTCAATAGAGGGTCCCAATGGTCATTGGGTGGTCCCAACAGTCACTGGAGGGCCCCAACGGTCATTGGAAGGTCCCAATGGTCATTGGGTGGTCCCAAGGTCAATGGAGGGTCCCAACAGTCATTGGAGGGTCCCAACAGTCATTGGGTGGTCCCAAGGTCATTGGAAGCTCCCGATGGTCACTGGAGGGTCCCAATGGTCATTGGAGGACCCCAACGGTCATTGGAGGGTCCCAACAGTCATTGGAGGCTCCCAACAGTCACTGGGCAGTCCCAACAATCATTGGGTGGGGCCAAAGTCATTGGGTGGTCCCAATGGCCATCAGCCAACCCCAACAGCCACTGGTCAAGACCAAGAGTCCTTGGGTGGTCCCAACAGTCACCGGAGAGTCCCGTAGCCCTTGGATGATCCCAGTGGCCACTGGACAGTCCCAGTGGCCATTGGACGGTCCCAGTGGCCACTGATGATCCCACCACCCACCACCAGACCCTTGCCCGCCATCCCCCACCCTTGGCCACCACCACCCAACCACCGGCCCGGCGTTGACCTCCAACCCCCCGGAACCCCCAAAAATCCCCTTTTCCCGCCGCCTCCGCCCCGTTATTCCCTAAAAACCCCCCGTTCCCTGCCGGACCTGGTGCTTCTGGCGGCGCTTCCGCTCCTGCTCGATCTTCTGCTGCTTCTCCAGCTTCTCGGTGATGCGGGCCTCGCGCAGCGACTGCCGCTTGCTGCGCTTGTAGGCCTTGGCGTTGAGCGCCGTCTCCAGCGCCGTGTCCCGCCGCATGCACACCACCACCTCCTGACGCAGCTGCAAATCCCGGGAAAAATGGGAAAATCAGATCCCAGCGCTCCTGGAACTCCCAGGGATCACGGTGCTCCCAGGGGATCTCAGTGGTCACGGCACTCCCAGGGATCCTGGTACTCCTGGTACTTCCAGGGACCCCGGTGCTCCCAGGGATCCTGGTGCTGCCAGGCACTCCCAGGGATCCCGGCACTCCCAGGGATCCCAGCGCTCCCAGTGCTCCCAGGGATCCCGGTGCTCCCAGGGATGCCGGCACTCCCAGGGATCCCGGTGCTCCCAGAGATCCCGGCACTCCCAGGGATCCCAGTACTCCCAGAGATCCCGGCGCTCCCAGGGATCCCGGTGCTCCCAGCACTCCCAGGGATCCCAACACTCCCAGCATTCCCAGGGATCCTGGCGCTGCCAGCACTCCCAAAGATCCCAGCATTCCCAGGGATCCCAGCATTCCTGGCGCTCACCTGGCGCTGGAAGTTGAGGAGCCGCAGGGCCTTGAGCTCGATGGTGGCTTTGGTCCGCAGGTCCCCGGCCAAGGATCCGGGCAGGTTTTCCAGCTCTTGGATGCGGTGGGCGATGCGGGCCTGGAGCCTGAGGGGGGATTTTTGGGATGAGTTCCGGCTCCGCTCCCACCCCGGCATCCCACCTGGAGTCGCTCCGGGAATGCCGGGATGGGATTTGGGAACACCCGGACACGGAGGGGCCGGAGTGCGGCCAGGGGAGGGTCAGGAGGAATCTCCAAGGAAAACCAATCCCCGCTCATCCCCTTGGATCTCAGGAATAGGGAAAATGGGATGGGGGCCGAGACTCTGGGAGCAGCCCCGGGAATGTCCCATTTTTCCCCAACCATGGCTCCCGGGGCAAGGAATCCCTGGAATGCCTGTACTCCTGGGGCAGGGGATCCCTGGAATGCCTGTACTCCAGGGTAGGGAATCCCTGGAATCCCTGTACTCCCCAGAATCCTTCCTATATTCCCTGTAATCCCCAGGATCTCTGGAACACACGGAATCCCTGGATTCCTGGGGCAGGGGATCCCTGTACTCCCTGTATTCCCTGGGATCCATGTATTCCCGGGGCAGGGGATCCCTGCACTCCCTGTATTCCCTGGGATCCCTGTATTCCCTGCATTCCCTGGGATCCCTGGACTCCCTGTATTCCCTAGGATCCCTGTATTCCCTGGGATCCCTGTACTCCCTGTATTCCCTGGGATCCCTGTATTCCCTGGAATCCCTGTATTCCCTTTGATCCCTGTACTCCTTGCATTCCCCAGAATCCCTGTATTCCCCGTGA